AATAAATAATTTATATAAATAATTATGAATGTATTCCAAAAATAAATTTTACTGTTAAGTAAACATATTATCACTGCATTATTTACCAGTGTAGTTTTTGCAGTGTTTAATACAAAGGGTCGATATACTAAATGGGCCTTAAAAATAGGGGAAAATATAACAATCCATCATGTGAAAAGCCTTTTGTATGAAACACGAAAATAAAGAGTATTTTTTCCAAAAAAAAAAAAAATGCGGTCCTGTCTATATATGGTTCTATAAATGGCTCTTTTATTACCAGTGCCTACCATTACAAAATGTTTTGTTAGAAATGCGTGTATCAAAAAAACTCCGACTAACTTTAACGTTATAAGTTAGATATGGTTAAATGTTACAATTCAAAATACATACAACTTAATTGCCCGAGCCATGATAGCTCAGTTTCCGGGCGACCGCCTTTAATTCAATTTACTAAAGCAACCTAGGTCCGATCTCCGATGTCGGCATCAATGAAATTGATAATTTTAAGTGCTGACTTATCACATGCTCAGCAGTGAAGGAAAACATCGTGAGGGAAACTGCATAATTTGACAGTGAGACAGTTAATGATGCTAAATGATTACCGTAGCCTGTACGGTACCGTAGCTTCTACCGTACCGTAGATGTCCATCATCTACAATTTCAGGGGATCGCAGTGAGCTCCGGCTACCTCACTCATCGGATAAAACGCGTGCAGTACTTTCACTTCACGCCAATCTACTGTGAGGCCGTTTCATTACCCCGGTTGAGACTGCCTATTCGTTCAACAGCAGATGCTGTGTGGCCCCAATAGTAAAAGGGGTTGAACTCTTGGCTCCCAGCATGGAAATTTAAGTGGCCAATACTTTGACTTAAGACACCACTAGAAACCATTACCTGCCTATTTTCACTATTGTTTTTATCTTAAATTAAAGGTAAAGGTAATGGCTGTTATTACCGTCTAAAGATGTTCATGAACCCTGCGTAGTTACAGTGGAGCTATCTCATCTGAATAAAAGTAAAAACATATAACTGCTCTTTAAGTCCGGTTTCTGTAATACTAATTGCAATAGCAGAAGCTTAAAGGTAAGAACTAATGTTTAAATTTACAGTATGTTTTGGAGTATATTGTCTGAAAATAAAAAAATAAGCACTGACTGTGGGGGCTGCCGACTAAAATGAAAACTTAAAACTGGAATAACTGAGTTTCTTTAAATTTTCAATTAATTATAATGTGCATAATTAAAAGCACAAAATACAAAGAAGAATTGCAAAAGAACTAAATATTTTAATTCCCTGTGTAACAATTTATAAAACATATTTTAATCTCTATCTAATAAATGAAAATTTAAAAGTTAAAATATAAAAAAGAGATATAAAATTAGATAAATTTCTAACATTACAATTTAAATTCAATAAACAATAATACATATATGAAATTCGACAGTAATTTTTCCATTAATTTCGTAACAATTAAGTTCGTCAATACGCGTTCGACAATGCACGAAGGGTCCTTTACCAATATCTGTAAAATCACCAAAAAGTTTATGTTATAGCGGCAACAGAAATAAATCATATGTGAAAATTTCAAATATCTTATTATCACGGTTCATGAGATACAGCCTGGTGACAGGCAGACAGACAGACAGGCAGAAACGGAATCTAGTAATAGGGTCCCATTTTACCCTTTGTGCACCGAACCCGAAAATCGGTTGACAAACAAAGAAGAAAAAGTCTTGATTAAACTATTTAACATTCTAACACAACTATTAATTAACATCGATTCACAACTGTCGTTTGTTGAGAGCCATTCCTTTGTTCTCATTTGCGCTGAGGTTTGAGTTTAAGCTGGGGATTGTTGGCTCGTTGGAAGCCTTACAGGCAATGCGATATAGACCGGTGTCAAGGGCGGGCTCTAATGGAACGGCAAATCGAACCTTTACTAGGAGCCCAGTGATGTTACGCAAAGGTGGCCGAAGTATAACAGAAGTGCAACATAATCGCGTTAGGAAAATCAGGTTTCGCATTAAAGCAGTAGAAGAGTAGTGTAATTAGTGATAATAAGGCTTGATTAGGTTACATACGATTAGGCTTTATTAATCTGGAATTATTTAATAGAAATTCTAGGTGTATAAAAGTAGTGTAAAAGTAACACCCTTATTATATGTCCCACTGCTGGGCAAAGGTCTCCTCTGTATCAGGACATTGTCCACTACGCGACCGGACAATGAGCTATCGCGGCTCTCAAACAATTTACACACAAATTAATGGTGTATACAGTTCTACAAAAATAAAACTCATATCACTGATTAACCTACCCAAATCAATATGACGCAATTGTGGCGGCATACATTATCCTATTTTGCTAAATTTAATTTGGTTCCGCGTTCAATTATTTATCTTTTATTTTTGCTATACATTAAGTGAAATGACTATCAGTAAATACACGACGTTTTGATACCATCAATAGTGGGTTGCAGGATTTTGATTCTTGTTTAAATTATTGCAGTGATCAATTAATTAACAGATCAATAAAGTGCAGTAATATATTGCTGCAATTAGACGCCGATTGCTTGCTTTAAACAATTTAATCTAGTCAATGAATACGGAATCAAAATGTTCAAAATGTCGGAAGCAACATTGTATTCGATAAAAAATCATTGTTTGTACACGAGAGCTCGATATTCAATGCTTTTCAAAAGCATGAAAATGAATCGAAAAAAAGAAGAGAGATGAAATGTACCACGAGTCATTTAATATCCAATCAGATCTTTGTACAGCATCGAGTTCCTTAATTAGGCACAATAGCAATGTAGGAAGAAATCTTATACAGTAAACAGACGTAGCCATTTCGTCCCGGACTAAGACGAAATAATTAAGGACAAGATGGCGTTTCCCTTATCGATTGAACTGTATACACATTGAAATGATTAGAAAACACCGGTAAAGTACGAGTTGGACTCGCGCATAAGGGGTTCCCTACCATTATCTAGAACTTTATTAACCACTAACTATAACTGCCCCACTTAATTTGTTTTTGCTCTGTTTTGCAGCATTTGTTGTTATATAGGTAATTCCTATTACCTATATAACAACAAATGCTGCAAAATCAAAATTTGTCTAACTATCATTGTTCATGATATACAGCCTGGTGACAGACGGACAGACAGACAACGGAGTCTTAGTAATAGGGTCCCATTTACCCTTTGGCTACGGAACCCTAAAAATTACCTTCGTTTTACCTAACACGCTTGAGATTAAAGGAGATAATAAAACTACAGTAACTTACGAAACACAAATGATGATTTAGAAACAATAAATCTTGGTTTAGAAATTCCATTGCACCATTTTGCATGAACATAATAATATAAAAATGCAATATTAATTGCTTATCGATTATCCTTACGAGAAACATGGCTATTTAATTTCTACAGAATAACCAACATGCGCACTTTAACCTTTCCTCTTGTCGCTCTTTTTATCATTCTATCTCTTTCATTGTTTCATTTCCAATTATGGATTTTAGTTTACATCACTTTCCAGATTAAGCTTGCGCGCATATCGTAATTTGTGAATAACGAAATGAAAAGTTTCAATTCAGAATGGAGCTGAAGCGGTTACCGCTACGTCGGGCGCCAAAGCTAATGTGATGGCTCTTAAAATCTTTGTTCAGTTTTATAAGAGCTATCTAGTTATATAGTTTAGCTATTAGCTATATAGCTATATAGTTTTATATAGCATAAACGTTAAATCTTTTAAATACCTAGTAATTATGTATTCTTCTTTTTCATCAATTTAAAATTAATATAATTTGAATTATAAACAAAATACGTTTAAATAAATAAGTATTTTTTGACTAGGTAACATTTAGGTTTGTGATATCTATACAGTCTAGTTTTTAATTTATGCGATTTTTACAGGTTATTAGACGGTCAAACAAAGCAGTATAAAGTATATTGTTAGAACGATAAATTTGTTAATTTTTATTATTTAGAGATAAATCGCAATCTATTTTATTTTACGTACCCACCAACAAAAATTTATATAAAAGCTTAAGCATGCTTGTAAAGCTCTTATTCCGTGTAATAGACTATTAAGGATAGCGTGCCATGTTTAAAATTGCTGTGGAAACCCTAATTACATCAAATTACAGGGATATTGGGTAATACCCGCGGAATAGACGGAGTGAAGGAAAGTTCACGTCTTCTTGAACAAATATTTTTAATACAGTTTTTTAATTGCATTTTTCCGACAAGGTAGTTGTTGTTGACTATTTTAATTATTTATTATGTTTAAAGTAATTTTTATTAAATCCTATATTATAATACATGTATACTTTGAAAAGACGGTAATACTTCAATAATTAATTAAATTTCTGCTATTCTAAAAATATAATTATAAATTAATAAATAGTATTTATATTTGTATAACTGATGTTACGCTTCCAGTCCTTAGACTATTAAAGCTTCATCGAACGCAATAAATAATATGTTCCTATCAACCTATTTTAACGTATAAATTAACTACATCAAATAAATAAAGTGATATTATATCGAACTATTATAAAAAAAAATTAAATAAATAGCTCTTTTGGATGGCCTTTCCCGATTCCTAAATTTTTAACAAAGTCGTTTTAAAAAAATGGATAGTAACTGTCGCTTGTTAAGAAAACATGTTGAAATAATGTTAAATAGAAATATTTCTTCACTACAGCTATGGATGACTATCATAAAAAATAATAATGTATAAATAATATTACATAAGAAAAATTTCCGAATAAATTTTGAATCTCGTACAAATTCCAAGAACCCCGTTTCTCGGCTTCGGTCAGAAACGTTACATTGCTTTTTTTTATTTCAAATTCAAGGCCAGTAACAAAAATTGTGTTAATCCATCCCCGGGTATTTTATTTAAAGAATTCAAATAAAGAACGTTACATAACTGAGGCCGAAAACCGCGGTGTCCTTGACACCAGCCCTGGGCTGTAGCCCCGGATCACGTACCTGGTTCGGCGCCGCCGTCTCCGTCGTCATCTCGCCCGGGTACGTACCGAACCGGCCCCAGCGAAACGCCGGGCTCAAATAGCTCGCATCGCCGGCGAGTATCGATCCCGGCGCGTCCTTGCACTCGCGTACCGATTCGGGCGGCTGACGCTAACAAACTCGCTACCGGCGCACGAGAGAGCCTTTCTTTTACTATTCTTAAATATTACGAAGGGGAAAAGCTGGAGCGTTCTAAATTCGAAACGAAAAACGCGCGTACGTCTCCGCCATTTTCCTTTTCGAAAGTTCGAGGTCCTTACAACACTTTCTACTCTAATTACACTAAGCTAAATTAAAGCGATACACAGACATTTCAGCTATATTACATATATGGTTTCTTTTCATTTATTTACTTATCCGAGTATAATTTTACTCCGAGAACTAGTTGTTGCGCTTGGGACGTCACCGCTGGGGTGCAGGATTTGCCGGCTTTGGCCGCGTACAAGACGGTTCATGGGTGGGGTGGTGGTTCTGCGGCTGCGCGTTGGCGGCGCTTTGTGTGCGTAATTTGCGTGTATGCTACCAAACCGTCCAGCCCTGTTTGACCCGCGCCCGCCCCTCGCCGCCTTTGACGGGCGTCGCACAAGGGGTTGCTTTATCGGGAAAAGGGGGTCAGGGCAATCTGGCTTCCATTCACAAATACAATCGATAACGCGGAACGCTCAGATGCTAGGAAATGTCAGACATGATGTCGGGGCAGACAAAGAGAGGTACAGATTCGCAAAACCCTATTCTATTTACCACTTTTTTCCTATTATTTTTTGATTAAAACTATTAAAATTATCAGAGTTAGATGATAATTGTTACCTTCAAATAAATATTGAAAATATAAACATTAAAAAAATCAATCTGAACCATTTTAATGACTATTAACAACTTCCCTACGCTGTGGAGCTATTTTTTTTTAATAAAATAAATTACGAATATATTAAACTCTTATCGAACTTAAGACTTAACAATAAAGAAAATTTATGTATATATGAAAAATTTTGAATCTTAGACACACACAAATTTTCAAATAATTGACTAACTGCTGTATTTAACTACAATGCTGTATTTAAATTTAATTAAAATATAGTTGTTAGGGCCGTGATAGCTCAGTGTCCGGGCGCTCGCCTTTAATTCAATATACTCGAGCAACCTGAGTTCGATCCCCGGTGCCGGCACCAATGAAGTTTTTAACTTTAAGTGCTGACTTATCACGTGCTCCGCGGTGAAGGAAAACATCGTGAGGAAACCTGCATATTTTCGAAATAATAACAAAAAAATATATATTTCGAAGATGTGTGAAGTCCACCAATCCGCAGTGGGGCCGCGTGGTGGACTATGCCCTGATACCCTCTGTATAGAGGAGGCCTTTGCCCAGCAGTGGGACATGTATTGGCTGTTACTTTACTTTTTTTATAGTTGTTAGTTTTATTACCACCTTTTTGAACTTAGCCTGACTGTTGAAAATATTTTCCAGTTCAAATAGTCCATTTGTGTCCAGTCTGCGTGCGAGGAAAATCGTATATATTTTTATATTAACTACTTTAAAATTATTAAAAAGAAATATATTGTTAATCTAACTATTGCGTTTCTTACTTAGAACCAAAAGCGGCCGATACAAATAACTCGAGCGTTGATTGACCAATTATTATGAACAAAACAGAGTCTTGAAAATCCCAAATGATAATGTTTGGTAATTCCAAACTGAGATGAAAAGTGATATATCATATTTTAAAGAGATGGGCAACGATCAATACAATACAATACAATAATTAATGAAACTAATTGTAAGAAGTTATAGTGTTTACTTTAAAGTTTAGTTCCCGACGTTTCGAACCTTTTTCGGCGTTCATGGTCACGGGACAGACTGTCGTTGGACGTCTGAAAGTCATATTTAACCTGGGCAGCCGCTGCTGGCCTGCTTTATGATTAATTTCGTCCAATCTACGCAGAAGCACCTTCTAAAAATAAACGTGATCCATAAAACTAATTATGTGTAATCGCGTAAATACAAGAAATTAATAGAAGAAGTATCTCTAATAATATTAAATGTTTGATATTCGTCCAATTCATAAAAAATATTACAATTCAGCAATTCGTCCATCCTTCTAACTCGCGGATATAGTTTAGTTGTCAAAGGTTTCCCGACCAATTCTTGCTGCACTTATTTAATTATAAAGTAACATCGTGGGAAATGGCTACGTACCCCAACGTATCACTGCGACCCATCTGTTTTGTTTTCCGTTACCACGCAACAGTTATTACGAAAACTCGCATTTAGTGCACCACTGCCATTCGTTTGTATTTTATTTTAATATCTACTTCGATATCGATGCGTTTTTCAATTTTGCTTGAAGAAATCTTGCATTTCTATCTGCTACGTACGGTGGAGTGACCTGTGCAAATATGCGGGAAGTAGATGGATGCAGGTGGCTCAGGATTGTGCTTAGTCTGTGGGGGAGGCGTATGTTCAGCAGTGGACTCAAAAAGGCTGAAATGATGATGATGATGACGTACGGTGATATCTCCGTTTCCTAGCGCTCGCTTTAGAATTCACTATACTCGAGGAACCCGAGTTCAAATCACTTTTTTCGGCACCAGTCGAAATTATTAATTTTAAGTGTGTACTCAGTGGTGAAAGAAAACATCGTCAGGAAACATGCATATTTTAGAAATAATTTTGAAGATGTATGAAGTCCGCCAATCCTCAATGGGGTCGCGTGGTGAACTATGCCCTAATACCCGTATCTGTGAAGTAGGGGGACATATGTTGGCAGTTACTTTATTTTTTTTAATCTACGGTGACCCTCTCGCCAACTGTCACGTTTTAGGGCTTTTTCACATCTTCTTAGATCTGTTATAGCAACATATTTATAATCTTTCTTGTCCAAACTAAAAACTATTAAACTTTTTTCTACTGGAAATCATAGCATTTTTTTTTATTACCATTACTTGAAGATTTTAATTAATTTATTTTATTACTTATGTAATGTAATGAAATCCTTCAAAAGATCCTTCATCCAAGTCCAAAACCTCAAATGTTGTTTTAAGTTTTAATTTTTTTTAAATACAGTTGCAATTGATGCCTATATTATACATGTGAGTCTAATACATCAATTATTATTATTAAAAATAAAGACCCATTTATTTCGTCTTTTCGTGTTATACAGATTAGTACATAAAATAAAAAATATTTTTAATAACTAATTAATAATTACACGGAGAGTCTCTTTCAACGTTTAAATTACATTTAAAATGCAAAAGTTTGTACCGATTTAACAAAGATATTTTACAGTTCTACACCCGGACACTAGTAAAACACCATGTTCATCACACAATATTATTTCAGTAGTGGACATCGAACCCACACCCTCTGGCGCAGGAGGCAGGTACACTACCATCAGATTTTCACAAATCATCACCATCAGATTATTACAAATCAAGTATAATTTTATTTTTGATGACTTTGACGCACGGCGTTGAATCTGTGGGTATTTATATTATAATAATAATAAAATATCTTTATTCACATAGACGCTTGCGCGTTCTTATGAAACGTCAAAATTTTACAAGAAATGAACACGTTCAGCAATAAATATATTGAGACGCAACAGTGAGTATATTAATCTCTTTAAAAAAGGTCTCTGAGTGTATTCCCGGGCTCCGATGTTATATATTGCTCGGACAGCTCTCTTTTTTTAATTTGAAAATCTAGCGTGAGTTTATAGGCGTCTGCTATACAAATGCCCAAAGGGTAAAACGGGGCTCTATTACTAAGACTCCACTGTTTGTCTGTCTGTCCGTCTGTCACTAGGCTGCATCTCTTGAACCGTGATACTTAGATAGTTGAAATTTCATAGATAGAGGGTACGGAACCCTTTATGTGCGAGTCCAACTCGCACTGGGCTGATTTTTTTTATTTTCTGAATTTCTCAAACTCAAAGGCCAGCAACATGCTTCAGGCAGTCCTCGAGAATTGTTTTGTCGCGTGGGTTCTTCTTTAAACGACATTAAGGATTCATCAGTCATAAAAACGTCCTTGACTCCTTAAAATACGATTTATTGTATGTATATATAAATTCATAATTTTGATATTAGAAAGACACTTTTTTTATATCACGTATTTAGTTTTGATACTTATATTTTTATGTGTGTAAAGTATTTTAAGTTCTTTCGTGCTTTAAGGATTCATCGTCATAAAAAAACGTCCTTGACTCCTTAAAATACGATTTATGTATGTATATTAATTCATAAAATTTTGATAACTTTGTTATATTTTTGATTACTTTAATTGGTATAAAGTATTTGTAAAGTATTTTAAGTTCTTTCGTGCTTATTTATTACGTAGCTTTATCGTTATTGTTCCATTTACATTGAGTCATTATTAAAAAAACGAGGAAATATAAAACTGTATTACTTTTCGTTATTTTAGTATCTGTAGTATATGCAACAATGTTCAGACTGTTACCCATCCATACGCTAAAGTAATAAAATGTCTGAGGAGTGCGCTAGGGAGATGCTATGGTATCGATCTTACCTAAACGTAGTGCAGCTCTTGGCTTTATTAGTATTTTCCCTAAGACTAGGGCCGATGATGAATCTCAGATACTGTATACGTGATGTTTTATAAAACGATCATGCCTGATAAATATACAAAATTACTGTATATTTATATGAAATATAGTTTGATAAGGGATAATCTCTCATGATGTTAGAGTTAGAAGATTGACTATATAATATATTCGGCCTTGTGGCCCTTAATTTTGATTCGAAACCCTAGAAGTCTCTAAAACTTTGCAGATTTCATGATCTACTCCAAATAATCATATAAACTGGACTGAACTATTTAGAAATTGTGGTATATATAATGCAGAATTATAATCCAATGGCACACGACATGAATGCGAGACAGAAATATGCTCTGACAACTTTAACTGTGGTATTAATATGCAGTTAAGTTGCTGGCAAACGCTCGATTAAATTAAACCTAATACGGTCGCGTATTTTACCCTGCTATGCAGCAGTTTCTTTAAGAAGCTTTTTTTTTTGCTCTTTTGTTTAAGTAAAATTTTTCGATTATCGCCGTTTCTATACTGCTATTAAAAATAATTTAAACGATAGAAAAAATATAACTAATGAATTAATCAACAAGCAGAATTTTGTGGTCGGTTATAGTTTCCGAGAAAAAAAATATTGTCAACTCGTTATTTTCACTAAAAAAATCCACCATATTGTTAATTATTACTTTAGTGATTTTTCTCTACTGAATAAATATTTTGGTTAGGTCAAAAACACCCGGTGCTAATGGAAAAAAATTACGTTTTGTCTGGGAAATGGAGTAATCTAAGGTCAATCAATTCGGCAACATACATCGACTCTCTTTGTGAATTGATATCCCTGGGTGTAGATGGTCGCTCACAATCAGGTGAAACCACGTTATCTTTTGCTCTATTCCACTGTAAAATAAATTAAAACGGAAATGGTGACTTGCTATACTTGGTTAATTGGTATACCAATTAACGTGATTCATTCCGCAAGATAAATTTCAGGAGCATTGTACTCACGCACTGCATTGGTTGCATCTTATTTATAGACATGCATCGGTGAAGAAGCAGTTATCCAAAATGTATTTTTATTGACCAACATAAACATGTAAGCGATCTTCACAGTCTTCAAAACTAAAGTCTGTTTGTGCTTTTACAAAAGATAAAGTGAATAATGAAATTTGGCGGATCAGCTGGAGAATAAAACAAATACTAGCATCTCATGAAAAGTGCGAAGATACATGAAACCAACGCTACTATTCCAAAAACTTTTCGCGTTAAAAATTTTAAATTAACTCCACAATATATTTAGATAAACTAGTTTTATGGATTGTGTCACGTCTATTTTAAAACAAAATTCCTGTCATTTCGAATACTCTATAGCATTCATGATCACATCTGGACCAATAAGTTTGTTGCGATTGTTTTATATGGGCTATATGTTTCTGCACGTGGATTTTTAGTATTCTTTTTTACTCCTATATAAAAAAGCCAACATTCACAATCAAGCTCGTAGTCTCCTAGATCTATTGGAGGAATATTGAATTTCTCAGATTGTATAATCAGCCTTATCTTTTTCTGTTTTAGTAGAATATTTCAATTGTAGCCCGCCTGAAGATTTTGCTGGCGACCCCAAAGATACCATACATCAGGTCACTGTGACGTAGGCGTGGTGCTAGAAGCTTCTTAAAATACAGGACTTGCTGCCAAGTGCTCCTTGTCATATACCCCTTATTCTCTCTGAAATAAAGATTAACTCACGATTGCTAACTGGGAAGCATGGTGGTGAGAATCACCACACATTTATATGGTTTGCATGAGATGCTTTCCTATGCATAGTATATTTCAAAGTTTGCGTGTTTTCAAGATTGCGAACAACAAACACATCTTGATAAATAGCAAGATATGCCGACACAGGGTTCTTCTACCTCTCCTTTCTGGCGGGGCTTCGTCGCAGGAGGTGCAGGGACTTGAAATGGGGCCTTGCAGCTATACGACATGACGTGACGTCATGAAAATGACGTAAGACTGTTTAAGGTGTTATGAGTCCAACCTAAAACAGTTTACTGTTTTAGGTTGGACGTCGTGCACTGTTGAGTTTAATCGAGGGTGTCGAGATGACACGTGACGTGTGCTACGCTGACGACACCCTCAATCCATGGCGCCAATTTTCGCCAGACTGCTATTCTCGCCATTGCGGCAGCAGTGCATACAGGGGAACGAACACGACGATTGCGATTAGAGGTGGCATTGAACAAATCCAAGGTCCTCTGCTTCTATGGGCCTCGAAATGTGCCTCCTACGGATGCCCACAGTTGGACCAACCAAAAACCCGGGAATCCGCGGAGACAAATCCAGAATCCTCCCGAGGATGATCAGCGGGGTTATTGAAATAAAGAAACATCCTAATTTCTGGGAAGATAATTGGGGTTTATTATCATCAGCCTGGGATCCCATAACTTTAAAATTAAGTCCAAGCACACCAATACTACTAGACCTCAAGATAACGTAATCTCGTTTTGAGTAAATCAGAATAATAATAAATAGTAAAATAATTGGCCGTAGACCGGTTTAAGCTGACATTAAGACGTCAAACAAATCAGTCTGTCCCGTTGAATGCTTTTGTCGATGGTAGGGCCACGTAGCAACCTCGGCTGTTGTAGGAATGGGTGGCTCGTCCGGGTAAGTGCCACGACCTCACAGAAGACTGGCGTCAAGTGGACGTATAATACTTTCGTCTGGTGAGTGAGGTAGCCGGAGACCAATTTTCAAAAGGTCAATGCACCTGCAACCATCAGGTGCAGCAGATGTCCATGGGCGGCGGTATTCACTTAACATCAGGTGAACCACTTGCTCGCTAAGTAACTTTTAACGTAAAAAAAGGGTTCGAAACGTTGGGGATATAAAATAACGTGATAAAATCCGTAAAATAGATTAATTATATGGTTATATAAAATACTTGAGTAAAAAATAGAAAATCCTTTTGATAAATACTTCATAGTGTTTATCCAGTTTTTGTTGTGAAAGATCATAGACCGCGATATGTTCTCCGTGTCTGTGGTCGACGGTTGTATTCCGTTTTATGCGTTGCAGCGATCGTTTGAAATTAACTTTTGTTTTTTCAATCGTAACATTAAGCTGTTTCGCGCTTATTTAATGTACTCATTAACTCGATGGCCAGAGCTTCTACTATCTATTTTTATTCATCTCTTATCATTCATCACTATAGTTTTCGGCACTAGCCGATTAGCCCTATATAATTGCATCGATACAGAACAGATATAACGTATCAGCATGTATTGAAAGCCGATATTCTATATAAAGCCGATATATATAGATATAGCTTCTATATAGCTTTAGTCATCGAAATAGCTCCGGTATAACATCGAATCTATACAGATAAATAAAATTGGAGTGTCTGTTTGTAATATTAAAATAACCGCTATTTATTAAATGCATACGGATGTATACACGGTACATGTGTCAAAATAACATTTTTTTACAATTTTTGTCTGTCTGTCTGTCTATTTGTTCCGGCTAATCTCTGAAACTGCTGGACCGATTTGGACGGGACTTTCACTGGCAGATATCTGATGTAATAAGGAGTAACTTAGGCTACTTTTATTTTAGAATTTTTTTTATTTTAAATTCCACGCGGACGAAGTCGCGGGGACAGCTAGTATATAATAAATATAAGATAGAGCACCGACATAATAATGATCTATGAAATTGACGGTCCCTACGTATAACATTTCAAAGCAAAAATTAATTTCATAAATTGCTTTTATTCATCAATATTCGCCCACTTATTTTATTTTTCAAATATCCATGGTTTTACAACAATATGTTTAGTTTCTTTGCCACGTATAGACAGACATGTCACACTTAACTTTTACAGATAACAGCTAAAGTTATCGTTGAAACAGTCAACTATCAAATGTTCCATGAAATCAATAATAAATGAACATAAACTTGTCCCAGCCGGACATTACGCAAAAACTAACGGAGCGCATAGATGACCTGAAGCAGAGGATCGCTGCTTGGGGGAAGCGGATTCGGAGATATTCCGAGAGGACGGCGCGGTTTAGCCAGAATCGCCTCTTCCAGAGTGACCAAAAGAGGCTCTACAAATCTTTGGAGCGACCAGTGAGTTGTGGAACGGGCCAAGGACCGGACCAGGCAGACACTGTCGCCTTCTGGCGCAGCCTGTGGTCAGAGCCCGTAGACCACAGTGAGGGCCCTTGGACACAAGTCGTGGCGAGCCAATGTGCAGACATTACACCCATGGACCCCGTCGTCATAACATCCGACGACGTATCTGAGGCAGTCCGTAGAGCCCCGAACTGGAAAAGTCCGGGACTCGACGGGCTGCATCACTACTGGCTGAAGGGGTTCGTGGTGTGTCATGCTGTGCTCGCCCGACAGTTCCAAGAGGCTCTCGATCAGAGGTCGCTCCCGAGCCTCTTTACTACTGGGGTCACTCATTTGGTTCCTAAAGATCAGGTTACCACAGACCCGAGTAAGTACCGCCCCATTACGTGTCTACCTACCATCTATAAGACACTGACATCTATTCTGAGTATGAGAATCACCCGGCATATTAATGTGAATCGGATTATGTCTCGTACTCAGAATGGATGTCGGGGGGGGTGGTGGTCGTGGAACCAAGGAACCGCTTCTCATCGACGCGGTCATTGGTAAAATGGTTAAACGCAACCGTCGGAACCTCTCCGCCGCCTGGATAGACTACAAAAAGGCATTCGACTCGGTGCCCCATACATGGCTAAAGAGGGTCCTCGAACTATACAAAGTAGACTGTACAGTAAGAGACTTCCTCGAGCACTGTATGGGGCAATGGAGTACGATCCTTTGTCATCTAGGCGAACGGATGACGGCTGCGGAATACCGGATAAGGATACGACGGGGTATTTTCCAGGGCGACTGTTTGAGTCCAATATGGTTTTGCCTCTCCCTGAATCCTCTCAGCGTATTACTGGAGGGCTCGGGGGGAGGATTTCAGCTTCGGAGAGGAGGGACAAAAGTGACCCACCTTTTCTACATGGATGACCTCAAGTTATTCGCCTCCAATCGCTCCCATTTGATGGAATTGCTTAAAGTCACTTGTGATTTCAGCAATTCTATCAAAATGGAGCTCGGGACGGATAAGTGTGCGGTCCTTCATGTCGAAAGGGGTAAGGTCACTAATACGGAGGGCATAGACTTATCTATGCCCGTTAACATAAGGACCCTCTCTGAGGCTGAAACATACCGATACCTGGGTATGTCACAAAATATGTGTATCGATGAGGCTGGCATGAAACAGTCAGTTCGTGACGTGTTTTTTGCACGCCTGACAAAGGTGTTTAATAGCCATTTGTCAGGCGGGAACAAGGCACGTGCTTTTAACGGCTGGGTCATGCCAGTCCTTATGTATACCTTTGGCATACTCAGGTGGACACAAACTGAGCTCAACGCCCTGGACCGAAAAGTCCGCACAACTATGACGTCCCACAGAATGCATCATCCGAGATCGTCAGTGATGAGGCTGTACCTTCCGCGGAAGCATGGCGGGAGGGGCTTTTTAAGCGCCCTCACCATGCACAATCGCGAGGTGTGCAGCCTCCGTAACTACTTTCTGGCGAGATCGGATGAGTCAATCTACACGGACGTCATTAGTTGTGATAAGGGACTTACCCCTCTATCCTTAGCCAACGAGCAATGGCAGGACCCGGGAGTACTGAGCGTTTCCGACCGAGAGGCCGTATGGAAGGAGAAAGAGCTCCACGGGAGGTTCTACAAGGCTCTCTACACGAGCCTTTCGTAGATACTGTTGCCTCCCTTAACTGGCTACGTTTCGGTGACCTCTTTGGGGAAACCGAAGGTTTTGTCTGTGCGATACAGGATCAGGTTATTAAGACGAACAACTATCGGAGATACATCCTGGCACCGTCGACATCTGTCGAGCTTGTCGCCATCCCGGGGAGTCGCTTCGGCATGTTATCTCCGGTTGTTCCATGCTTTCTAACTCTGAGTATCTGCATAGACACAACCTAGTAGCCAGAATCCTACACCAGGAGCTCGCTCTGAAATACGGCCTCGTGGAACGGAAACTGCCGTATTATAAGTACTCTCCGGAGGCCGTGCTCGAAAATGACCGCGCCAGGCTCTATTGGGACCGGTCCATCATCACGGACAGGACAATTGTCGCGAACAAACCTGATATCGTGTTGATGGACCGGGCACAGTCGCGGGTATTTTTGGTCGACATTACCATTCCATATGACGAGAACCTCGTGAAAGCCGAAACAGATAAGAAGACGAAGTATCTGGACCTGGCTCACGAGGTGACCGACATGTGGGGTGGTGTGCCGACCGAAATTATCCCGATAGTCGTGTCTGCGAATGGGTTGATCCCAGTCAGCCTCTCTAAACATCTGAGGCGACTGGGACTCCGGGACGGATCGCTCCAGGCTCAAATGCAGAAGGCGGTGCTCCTCGATACCGCCCGCATCGTCCGCCGGTTTCTCTCCCTTTCGCCCTAACCCTCGGCCGTTTGGTCTCCCCTGCCGAGGGCTTCCGTCTGGTTGGGTCCTATATATATATATAGGCATTATATAAAATATTTATTTATATATATATATATATATATATATATTTATTTTTATCCATAATATTTATTTTATATATGCAATATATATCTATATCTTTATTTTTATTTTTATTTATAAACCCAACCAGACGAGAAAACAAATGAATATCCCCCCATAATAAAAAAAACAATAATGACATTAGAAGTGCTTATATCTTAATATTGAATTACAAAAAAGCAATAAATAAAAAATTTAAAACATTTTATTTTTATTTTTACTTACCCTTTAATTCGCCTTGTAGACCATCTTATTAGATATATCGCTCTATACGTAAGGGCCGTCGAAATGGAGTGCCGATTTACCGCCAACATAGCGCCGTTGTCAAAAGATCGATGACCCGACTCGGAAAC